CTGCAACACAGTAAGGTTTCTCTAGCACTTCTGTGATCTCCAGAATGTCTGTGATTTCCAATAAAATGTGTGTAGGAATTAAAAAAAAAAAAGGAATGAAGACTTTCTAGCAGTGGTGAGTTTTTTCCTTCTATAGTGGTGATTCTTCAGAAAGAGCCACTGCATACCTTCGTAGTGTCCCAATTTGGCAGATAAATCCCAAATAATCTGCTTGCATCCCACTTTTCAGCTGCTTTTCCTCTCACTTTACCCCTTTGTCCTCAGTTTACTTCAGTTGCTGCAAACTGAGTTCAAAGTACAAAAATAGCTTGTACAGTCAGTCGGCTCTCCATATCCATGAATTCTTTATCCATGGATTCAAGCATTCACAGCTTGATTTTTTTTAAAAATTACATTCCCAAAAGAAAACCTTGATTTCACCATTTTATATATCCAGTGTATATAATGGGGCTTGAGCATCCATGGATTTTGGTATACATGAGGGGTCCTGGGACTAAACCCCAGCAGATACCAAGGGCCCACTACACTCGGTTAACTCAGTAGAAGGAAGAGCATGGAATCTTGCTCTTCCCTGTAGACTCAGACAAAAGCAAACTGCTGTTGCCTCTTCTAACTTGTTTGTTCTTCCTCATCAATATGTATTGCTTGGCCACACATATGCCATTTTTCAGCTTTGAAATGCTGAGAGTATGACACTGTGGCCTAAACAAAATTGTTAATCCCAGTTAAAGCAGACCCATGAAATCAATGGGTTAAAACAACTATTGATGTATATTCCATTTATTCAATGTATTCATTTTAACAGGAATTAGGAACAGAATTTAGACATTTTTTTTCAGTGAAAAGGGGCCAAAGGGTTGTCGCAGACAAAGCAGAAGTTTGAGCAGGGAAACAAATAGGCAGTGAACAGCCAGAAACAAGTCTAGAAAGACTTGCTCTCTAGGAGTTATTGCTCTCTTAAGAGATATATATCTATTCTGCCCTATATCCAAAGATTTCTGAATAATATACAACAAAATCAATTTGACCAATTTAATACAATTTAAAATGTGAAACAGTAAAAAATAAATTGAAACATAAGTAAAACCAGTTAAATATGATAAAACCACACACATTTACAAACTAGATAAAATCATTAGACTTCTAAGGCTTTAGAAAAAAAGCTTTAAGTTGGCATCAACATAAAGCATTGATGCTAACTGGGTCTATAAGGGGAAGGCCTTCCATCACTGGGAAGCCATAACAAAGAAGCCCCTTTCTTATGCTCTCACAAAATATTGCCCCATCAGCTTTGAAACATTTGTTCCAGTGGAGTTAAAAGAGAAATTAATTTGCATATGTTATCATTTTCAGTGACAATTATAAAATTAGTTCAATATATTACTCATTAATAATGAACTCACAACCTGTGGTTTTGAATGTTTTTAAAAAATAAATTAGAATTACTGAAAATGGCCAGCTCTTCAATTCTCTCGCCATGAAAGATTAATCATTATTCAATCTTGTAAAGTTGTTGGCATATGACAACCATAATAACCGCTTTTCTAAACACTGTTAAATGTGTTAATGACTTAGGCATAACTAATGGATTTCTAATCCATTATTTCCAAGCTTTGTTCTTTTCATACTCTTTTCAAACAGATGAATGATGCAGAGCTAATGGTTTGTTTCATGTGAACCCTGATGACTATTTGAGAGTGTTAAATATTTTTATTTGGCTTGCTTGTTACTTTTACAGGCATGTTTCACAAGACAGGTTTGGAGTAATAAAATCAAGACAGGTTGCAACACATTAAAGCCAAGCATGGAATGGAAAAGTCATTTTATGATGTTGATGCTCCTCTTTCCTGCATAGCTGTTTCTCTCTCCCTTCCATGCATGGGATCCAGGGTCCTGAGCTCCCCTAGAGTGCCTGGGCCTGGAGTACCATTACCTGGCACTCAGAGCAATGGTGGGTGGCTGTTCATACACATGTCTTGTTAGGCCACCCATCACCACCACCACAGATCACTCCCTCTGAGGCTAAAAACATGGCACCCAGCATTGATCACATAGCTGGGCACCTTGTTCTGAGCTCAAAAGGTGTGACTTGCAGCGGCAGTGGTAGGCACGGTGGGACATATTGTAAACAGTTGCCTACCGGCACTCTGGAGGGCTCCAGAAGAACCGGAGCAAAAGACGAGCATTTTAAAATTGGTGCAGGGAGGGTATACAAGGGTTTTGGTGCTGAACTGGCCAGGTGTCATCTGGACAGTTTGTACCAGAATCAGGGATTGGGCCATCCATCATCCAGACTAGTTGGTGTGAGGACTAGAGAGGCTGTGGCATTTGGTCTGTGTGGACATGGCCATAGGCACCCTCCCCCAAATATTTTGTATTTCATCCATTGCACCTTAAAGAATGAAAAATTCATGTGAAAATTTCACAGGAAAATATACATTTTAAGAAATCCCTCCCCCACCCCTATATATGCATGAAAACTGGGATGAAGATTTGAAAATGGGAAAAAGAGAAAGTCATCAGTAATCAACTTAAGACATCATCCTTATTCCAGGACACTCTTCACTCCTATGCCCATCTTAACTATTGTAAGACACCTTGAGCCCCAGACTGGGGGGAAAAAACACAAGATAGAAATAAACATCAAGTCATACTCCCCTAGTTTCAGGAGATGGCAATGGCAAACCCCCTCTGAAGAAACTTGCTAAGAAAACCCCGTGATAGGTTCACCTTAGATCACCATAAGTTGAAAATGACTTGAAGGCATACAACAAGAGAAATAAACATAAAAATATTACTATTAATAATATTAATATTTATTAATATTATCATTAATTAACATTATTAATAATGATGATGTCTTATGATGCAGGATCATGGCCAATGTTATATGTATGTATATATATATATATATATAATTAGCTATGGAAGCCAAATAAATGAGAACAGCCAAATAGATGGGAAAGTATGCCTTTTGCTGAAATTTGGATATTGGCTCTATCCCAGCAATGTCAACCCTGGATGCTGGCCTTAACTATCATTGAAAGGTGTTAATGAGCTGGTATCAGAGCTTATAAATGCTAATTGGCACATCTCACAGGAGTTAAGGTGTCTGCCAGTAAAGGATTATTTTTTAAAAATTGACTCAAAGTTCCCTTGGCTTTGCTGCCACACATCTAAATGCCAGAATGGTAGCAGCTAATGCAAGCACAAAGTGTCAAAACTGTCTACTGGCTTAAAGAAAACACACAGGAGATTTTATTTGGCACTGATTTAAAAGTTACGAGTGCCAAAAATTATACATTTTGTCTGAGCTAGCAATGTAATTATTTCCTCTCAGTGAGAAAACTCATTAATTAAAATCAGTTATAAAAATCTGCTGAGTGGCTACTTAATTAAATTTATTATTTTTTTTTTTTTAGCTAAAGTGTTTGACTTAAATTGTCAATCAATTAAATTAACCTCAGTGCTAAAGAACCAACATAGTTTACATTAACCATTTTGGTTATTTAGCTAAAGTTAGTTCTCTTGGATTTTTGCAGAACTGATTCTTGTTTTTTTGTACTTCCTTAGGGCTAGGGAACTACAACATCTGGGTCAAACATCCCAAGCCACTTAATTCAGTTCTACAAATAGAGTAATTTAGATTTTACCAAAACTAAAGTAACAGAATCAGAGAATTATAGAGTCAGAAGGAGCTCCATGGGCAACTTAGGGGGGTTGCAGACTGTCAGAAATAGTGCAAATTGAATCCACTTTTAGGTTAGGGTTAGTGCTAGGGAATCATGGGAATTGTTGTTGTTTTTTCCTGGGACATTGAGCCTTCTCTGTCAGAGAGCTCTGGTGCCACAATAAACTACAGTGCCCATGATTCCCTAGCACTGAGCCAGGACAGTTAAAGTGGACTCAATTTGCACTATTTCTGGCAGTCTGCAACCCCCCTTAGTCCAATCCCCTGTTCAATGGCTTATGGGGCCTCTCCCAACTCTATGATTAATTGAAGATCCCTATGAAGGAGGATGAACTGGGAGAAATCTTTCCCATGAAGATCTCAAAACTCATATGGGGACAGTGGCATCACTAGGGTCGATGTCACTCGGTGTGTAACTCATGGTGTCACCCCCTCATTGACCTCCTCCCATACCACACCATACAGGAATCCTTAGTAATGCTTTTTGCACTAATGTTACTTGTAAATCCTAATTCCCATATGTCACTGAATCTAATGGTAATGGTTTTGACATAAACTGGCAAAATTAAAATTATCTTTAAATTACAATATCATATGCACAGAATAAATGTGTTTACTTATACATAGTTTCATGTCATTAAAGTGAAAATTTGGTAAAATGTGATATTTTCAAAGATTTGTTTAAATTAAATGTAAATGTTTTTAAAAATTAAAAATTAAATTTTGAAATTTGACATTTTAATTTTTTTAAAAAAACTAGGGCCTCTCCTTTCTCACTGACCCTTAGCCCACTCACACCATCTTTTTTAGTCTTTTTTTAAAGAGATACAGGCAAATGTCACAGCCTGTTTCTGCCAAAATAAAGATGTTTGAGGAGCAGTGGTATCATTTTCCCCTTAGGATGTCACCTGGTGCAGTTCAAACCCCCTGCATCCCCCTAGTGATGCCACTGTATGGGGATACAGTCCAGATCCAAGTTTTACAGGACATTATAGGTTGTAATGAAAACTTCGATTTTTACCCAGAAATAGACTGGCAACCAGTGAAGTTGTTGTAAGAAGTCTTTCTGCCAGCAACCAACTCTTTTCGCTACTTTCCAAGGCAGCATTATGTAGTATGTGTTACAGTACTCCAAATGGGATATATAACCAAAGCACATGTCACTATGGTGAGATCAGACATCTCCAAGAGCAGGTGCAGGTGGTGCAGTAATTTTAACTATGAAAATGCCCATGAGATTCTAAATATTCAGGTTAAAGACTGAGTCCAACAGTACACCCACCACTGTGAACCTGAGCTTTAATGTAGCGTATGCATGGCATAGTGGTTTGGGTGTTGGACTATGACTCTGGAGACCATGGTTCAATTCCCTACTTGGCCATGAAAGCCACTGGGTGACCTTGGGCAAGTCACACTCTCTCAGCCTCAGGGGAAGGCAAATCACTGATTTGTTCCCTTATGAACAAATCTTACCAAGAAAATGCCATGACAGGGCCACCTTTGAGTCACTATAAGTCATAAACTTGAAGGCACTCAACAAAAACAAGCCTATCTAGCATAGGCTGAATCCCTGTTTCCTGATCTGCCTTTTGATTGACTATGAACACTATTGCCTTGTCTAGATTAAACTTCAGTTTGTTTATCCTGTTAGCATTAGTTACTCTATAAGTATTTGGACACAGCATGTATTTGAAGTGACATCCTGTTTGGTAGGTTTTCCCCACACCCACTCTCTTTCTGCCTCACTTTGACCAGTTGTCATTTTTCTGCTTCTTTCTCCTCCATTAGACCATATGTTTGACAATGCACAAATAGTTTTCAAGTAAAGCTACTTTTATATATTTTACAAAGAAAACTAAGCCTATTTCTTTTCTCTGCTAACTCTGTATTTGTGGAGGATGGGGAGGTATGTGACTGGTTGTTGTTCAGCTTCTGCCTTGCTAATATGATTGCTCTGGTTACTCTGCTTGAGTGATTCATTACTATCTCTCACTTTTCTCTGACAGTTAACACACACTCTAACACATATATGTGTATAAGTCTCAGCAGAAAGATTGTACAAAAGGATATAATGTTTCGCCTGTTACAAAGACGTCCCACCATTGTACACATAGAACCACAGACTGGCAGTTGAATTTTATTGCAACACTGGTCTTGGGAAAGCATCCTTTGCATATCTGAGGGCAACAGGCTAGCTGAAGGACTGCAAGGCTGTTAGCTTGCAATATATAGACCTGTCCTTTATCTGCTGTCCTTCCTTGGCATCTGCTACCTGAGGTGACCTCCTCATTCTGTCTAATGATAGGACCATCCCTGCCAATTAGCCTTACCTTGGCTGAACTAGAGAGTCAGAAATGTTTATATTGTGCAATACTGAAAGATTGCAAAGATGATATAAACAAATTATATATATGCAGCTCTAGTATCTGATGGGAATTCTCAGGGCAAAAGAGCATATTTTCTGGCAGGATGACAGATTCATTGGGCACCACATATCCATTTTTCCTAACCAATAGGAGAGGAAGGGGGACATAAGGTGGACACCAAGCCACTGTGCTTGTGCTAACTATTGGCCAACATGGCTGAGGCTTCTGGGAGCTGAAGTCCCTCGGCCCTTAAAGGGGAAAGGTTGCCTACCCCTGTGCTAGACTCTAAAAACAACAACAGCAACACAGAAAGAGTCAAAAAGCAATTATACCGAAAACATGTGCCTTTCATTATTTTTATTACCTCTGACTCATTATCAATACTGACACCAAGAGCTTCTTTCCCTTTGTCAACTATTTCCTGAAAACCAAATGCTACGTGCAATTTAAGCCTGAACTATTTTTAATATTTGCTAGCCATGATTGTATCTAAATTTTCATAGCTAGTTTCTGTGATCTGTAGGCATAAATCTGAATTTTTCTGCTAGAGAAGTGTTAGCCTGTGGAAATTCTAGAATGGTTTGAGTACCAGTTAGTCTTTGCCTGCTGGTAGGAGTGAACCATTCTAGTCTCCCTCAGAAGGGAGCTGGGAAAGAATAATGGAATCATAGAGTTGGAAGAGACCACAAGATCCACCCAGTCAACCCCCTGCCATGCAGGAAATCATAATCAAAGCATACCAAACAGATGGCCATCCAGCCTCTGTTTAAAGACCGCCGAAGAAGGAGACTCCACCAGACTCTGAGGGAGGTGAAAACCACCACCACAAGTCACTATTATTTTGATGCAATTCCACTTTATCTTCCTTGCGTGATAAGGCTCAAAGTCAAAATTTATTATTATTATTATTATTAAGCTTATCATGGAATTGTCTGTGAAGTCGTAGGCTTTCATGGCTGGCATCCATAGTTTTTTTGTGGGTTTTTTTTGGCCTGTGTGGCCATGTTCTAGAAGAGTTTCTTTCTGACATTTTGCCAGCATCTGTGGCTAGCATCTTCAGATTTTCTCTGAAGATGCTAGCCACAGATGCTGGCGAAACGTCAGAAAGAAACTCTTCTAGAATATGGCCACACAGCCCGGAAAAAAAAACCCACAAAAAAAACTATGGAACTGTCTGTTTATCCATTTAGTTTTTACTGGGAGATTATTCTTGTCTAATGTATTTATTTTGTATCATTATTTATGTCCTGCTGGGTCTGCCTGACTGTGTAATGAGGACAAGTGAAAAAAATGGTTGATGACTGAACCTTCCTTTTAACTGGGGTGTGATAGGAAGGATTAAGATTTTAATGTGCAATAATGCATAGGGCTTAATCATTCCACCTAAGAGACAGAGTGTGACTCAGGGTCTTTGGGTCAAGCTAGGTGTCACTTCCCCCCCCCCATTGCTTTCATTAGGGATTTTGTTGGTGTGCCACCCACTCTGCTGCTTGACAATCTCCATTCCTGAGCTAGCCAGGGTGATCTTACAGCTGGTATGGGAATCCTCCCAGTTTGTAGTGCTGTGGGATTTCCACCATCCATATTGAGACTGACCTGTTGGGAACATCTCAGAACTTTATGTCTGTCATGACAACTATGGGTATGTTCCAAGAAGTATCTAGCCCTATTCACACTGCTGGGCACACTCTGGATCTTGTTTTCTGTAGTGGATGGAGTGAATGTGATCTGAGTATCTATAGTTCCATTGTCATGGACAGATCACCATCTTCTTGGGTTTAGACTTGCTGGGAGTCAGACCTTCTGCAGGGGTGGGAGGTCCATTAAGATGGTCCATCCCAAGAGGCTTATGGATTTGGATGGATTTCTGATGGCTCTTGAGGGGTTTTCTGCTGCCTTGATAGGTGATCATATTAAAGTTCTGGCTGATCTTTGGAATGGACAAATGGCCAGGGTGATTGACATAATCACTCCTGAACATTCCCTCTTATGGAATAGAGCCAAACCAGCCCCTGGTTTTCCAGGGGGCTGGTGGCAATGAAGCAAGTGAGAAGGTGACTAGAGCAGCATCAGCAGAAAACTCAGTGCATCTGATTGAACACAGGCTAACGCTTATTTTAGGGCCTTCTCTGTGACAACAGAGCAGAGCTGTTTCAGGTAATCAGAGATTTTTTTACACACTGGCCCAAAAGAGGAAAATCCATACTACTCAACTGCCTACTGCAAATAACTTGCCCAGTATTTTGTGTAGATAAAATTGTTCGGATCCACTCTGACTTGGATGCTAAAATTTATACAGATCCAGCGGGCGTTATGCTGGCTCCTGCTTGTCCAGTAACAATGGATACTTTTCAATATATGCAACCTGAAGATATGAACAGGGTTCTTGGAGATATGAGAGCCACCACATGAGTTATAGATCCTTGTTCTTCCTGGGTTATTTTTTTTAAAAAAAGCTAGAGAGGCACTGGCTGAGTGGGTACAAGTAGTGGTTAAAGGCTTGCTGAAACAAGACAGAGTTCTAGCTTGCTTGAAGGAGGCTGTTATTATTTATTTATTTATTTATTTTTATCCTGCCCCTCTGCAGAGCAATCAGGGTGGATCACAACATTA